TGATTTTTGACAAAAGTGCCAAGAACATACAATGGGGAAAGGAAAATATCTTCAATAAATGTTGTTGAAAAGCTAGATATCCACATACAGAAGAATGATATTAGACCTTTGTCTTGAAATTAGACTCTTACACCATATTCAAAAATCAGCTCATTATCAATTAAAGACTTAAATGTAAGACCTGAAACTTTAAAACTTCCAGAATAAAACCCGGGGGAAGGCCCCACTACATTGGTCCAGGCAATGATTTTTTGGATAGGACTCCAAATGCACAGGCAACAAAAGTAAAAAGTAGACAAATCGATGGCATCAAACTAACAAGTTTCTGCACAGCAAAGGAAACAATTTAAAAAGTGAAGAGACACAGAATGAGGGGAAATATTTACAAACCATACATCTAATAAGAAGTTAATACCCAAAATATATAAGGGACCCAAACAACTCAATAGCAAGAAAATAAATATGCCAGTTGAAAAAACAGGCTAAAGGGCCTGACTGGCCATTTCTCAAAAGAAGACATACAAATGGCAATAGGTATATGAAAAAATTCTCAGCACCACTAATCATTAGAGAAATCCGAGTTAAAACCACAATGAGACATCACAGATTTTCAAATGGCGTTTACCAAAAAAATGAGAGATAAGGATTAAAGAGGAAGCAGAGAAAAGGGAGCCCTTATACACTGTTATGAGAATGTAAATTGGTACAGCCACTTGGTAAGCAGTATGGAGGTTCCTCAGAAAAATAACAATAGAACTACCATGCAATCCAATAATCCCACTTTTGTATAGACATCCAAAGGAACTGAAATCAATATATCAAAGGGATATCTGCACTCCTATGAACATTGCAACATTGTTCACAATAGTCAAGATATGAAGCCAACCTAAAGGTCTATCAGTAGACGAATGGATAAAGAAAACGTGGTACAGGATTAAGATGGCAGACAGGAGGCAGGACTAGCTTGTATCTCCCTCTCAGAGCAGCATGTGGAGACTCATATTTTGAACTTTCTCTCCACGAACTACTACAGCAACATACCTAGAAAGCCAAGATAATCCACAGACCCTTCCCTCTGCAGGCTCCCAAGAGGCCAAAAAGCTGTGAGTCTGCTTGCTTTCTCAGTAGGGAGGTTCGTGGTCTGGGGCAAGTTCTCAGCCCTGGTCACCGGCTGCCTGGAAATAGACTTGATGCAGTTGGAGGAGCATGGTGGGAGTGAGAACAGCTGTTAGAACTGCAGGCTGTGTGGCAGCAGGGTGAGGCCTGTACTGCCAGCTTTACCCCACTTCCCTGGCAACCTGTGTGACTCAGCAGAGGCAGCCATAATCCCCCTTGGGAACAAAACTCCATTGGCCTGGGAGCCCCACCCCCAGCCTTCACAGCAGCTACAGCATGCCACGCCCCAAGGAGTGTCTGAGCTCAGACACACATATTTCTGCCCCCACCTGGTGGTCTTTCTCTACCCGCCCTGGTTATTGAAGACAAAGGATATAATCTCTGGGGAATTCTATGGCCTTGCCCACCACCTGAGAAATCTGAACGTGTTTCTATAGGGAGAAAGCAGTGACCCTAGGGCAACTTTGCTTCCTCCCTATAGTACCACAGTTGATGTACTCTTGAAAGTGCCACCTCCTGGCTGGAGGTCAACCAACACAAAACGAACAAAAATACAACCAAAGACCCTCACAGAGTCCACTTCACTTCCCTGCTATCTCCACTGGAGAAGGTGCTGGTATCCACAGCTGAAAGACCTGAAAATTGATCACATCACAGGTGTCTTTGCAGACACTCACCAGTACCAGCCCCGAGCCTGGTGGCTCCACTGGAGGCTAGACCCAGAAAAGCAAAACCATTCACTGCAGTTCAGCTCTCAGGAAGCTCCATCCCTAGAGGAAGGGGGAGAACACCACATCAAGGGAGCACCCTGTGGAACAAAAGAATCTGAACAGCAGCCCTTGGGTCCCAGATCTTCCCTCTGAAAACTGGAAAAACAATTCTAATAATATGACAAAACAAGGTTCTTTAACACCCCCAAAAGATCACACCAGCTCACCAGCAATGGACCTAAACCAAGACAAAATCTCTGAATTGCCAGAAAAAGAATTCAGGTCAATTACTAAGTTAATCAAGGAGGCACCAGAGAAGGGTGAAGTACAACTTAAAAACATGATACATGCCGGGCACTGTGGCTCATGTCTGTAATCCCAGCACTTTGGAAGGCTCAGGCAGATGGATCATGAGGTCAGGAGTTCAAGACCAGCCTGGCCAACATGGTGAAACCCCATCTCTACTAAAAATACAAAAATTAGCTGCACATGGTGGCACATGCCTGTAATCCCAGCTACTCAGGAGGCTGAGGCAGGAGAACTGCTTGAACTGGGACCCAGGAGGCAGAGGTTGCAGTGAGCTGAGATTGTGCCACTGCACTCCAGCCTGGGCTACAGAGCAAGACTTCGTCTCAAAAACAGAAACAAAAACAAACAAACAATCCATGTTACAGGACATGAAAGGAAAAACCTTCAGTGAAATAGATAGCATGAATAAAAAAGCAATTGCAGCTTCTGGAATCACACTTAGAGAAATGCAAAATGCACTGGAAAATCTCAGTGATAGAATCCAACAAGCAACAAACGGAAGAAAGAACTTTTGAGCTTGAAGACAAGGCTTTCAAATTAGTCCATCAAAGACAAAGAAAAAAGAATTTAAAAAAAATGAACAGGCCGGGTGCAGTGGCTCACACCTGTAATCCCAGCACTTTGGGAAGCTAAGGCGGGTGGATCACCTGAGATCCGGAGTTCAAGACCAGCTAGGCCAAGAGGTGAAACCTTGTCTCTACTGAAAATACAAAAATTAGCTGGGTGTGGTGGTGTGCACTTATAATCCCAGGTACTTGGGAGGCTGAGGAGACAGAATCTCTGGAACCTGAGAGGCGGAGGTTGCAGTGAGCCGAGTTGCACCATGCACTCCAGCCTGGGCAAAAAGAGCAAAATCCCACCTAAAAAAAAAACGAACAAAGCCTCCAAGAAGTTAAGAAGTTTGGGACTATGTTAAGTGTTCAAATCTAAGAATAATTGGTGTTCCCAAGGAAGAAGAGAAATCTAAAAGTCTGGAAAACATATTGAGGAAATAGCCCTGCTGGAGATCTAGACATCAAAATACAAGAAGCTCAAAGAACACCTGAGAAATTCATCACAAAAAGATCATCATCTAGGCACATAGTCATCAGGTTATGTAAAGTCAAGATGAAGGAAAGAATCTTAAGAGCTGTAAGGCAAAAGCATCAGGTAACCTATAAAGGAAAACCTATCAGATTAATAGCAGATTTCTCAGCAGAAACTCTACCAGCTAGGAGGGATTGAGGTTCTATTTTTTAGCCTCCTTAAACATAACAATTATCAGCCAAGAATTTTGTATCCAGTGAAACTAAGCTCATAAATGAAGGAAAGATACAGTCTTTTCCAGGCAAACAATTGCTGAAACAATTTGCCACTACCAAACCAGCACTACAAGAACTGCTAAAAGGAGCTCTAAATCTTGAAACAAATCCTCAAACTACACCAAAATGGAACCTGCTTGAAGCATAAATCTCATAGGACCTATATAATAAAACACAATGGGAAAAAAAAAAATCCCAAGGCATTCAGTCAACGAATGGCATGATGAATAGAATAGTACCTCATGTCTCAATACTAACGTTGAATGTAAATGGCCTAAATGCTCCACTTAAAAGGTACAGAATGGTAGAATGGATAAATATTCACCAACAGTGTTTCTGCTGTCTTCGGGAGAGTCACCTAACGCATAAGGACTCATATAAACTTCAAGTAAAAAGGTAGAAAAAGATTTTCCGTGCAAATGGACATAAAAAGTGAGCAGGGATAGCTGTTCTTATATCAGTAAAAACAAACAACAGATGCTGGAGAGGATGTGAAGAAATAGGAATGCTTTTACACTATTTGTTGAAATAGGAATGCTTTTATACTATTTGGTGAGAGTGCAAATTTGTTTGACCACTGAGGAAGACAGTGTGGCGATTCCTCAAGGATCTGGAACCAGAAATACCATTTGACCCAGCAATCCCATTACTGGGTATATACCCAAAGGATTATAAATCATTCTACTATAAAGATACATGCACACATATGTTTATTGCAGCACTATTCATAATAGCAAAGACTTGGAACCAATTCACATGCCCATCAATGATAGTCTGGATAAAGAAAATGTGTTATATATACCCTATGGAATACTATGCAGCCATAAAAAAGGATGAGTTCATGCATAAAGCTGGAAACCATCATTCTTAGCAAACTAACACAGGAACAGAAAACCAAACACCACATGTTCTCACTCATAAGTGGGTGTTGAACTATGAGAACACATGGATACGGGGCATGGAACATCATACACCAGGGCCTGTCAGGTGGTGGAGGCCTAGGGGAGGGATAGCATTAGGAGAAATACCTAATGTAGATGACAGGTTGATGGGTGCAGCAAACCACCACAGCATTTGTATACCTTTGTAACAAACCTGCATGTTCTGCACCTGTATCCCAGAACTTAAGTATAATAATATTTTTAAAAAGCCATGAGACATTATAACATAGAGCCAAATTTTAATAAATGATTTTTTAAAACTTTTAAAAGTGCCTGATGGAAATAGAAAGACAAAAAAAAAGAAAAAAAGAAAAAGAAAATGTGAGATATATATATATACATACACACACAGACACACACACACACACACATACACACACACACATACACACACCATGGAATATTACTCAGCCGTGAAAAAGGAATGAAATATTAATAATGACATTCACAGCAATCTGGATGGAATTGGACTATTATTTGAAGTGAAGTACAGAAATGGAAAACCAAACATCATATGTTCTCACTCATGTGGGAGCTAAGCTATTAGGTTGCAAAAGCATAAGAATGATACACTGGACTTTGGCACTCAGGGGAAAGGGTCAGAAGGGGGTGAGGGATAAAAGACTTCAAATTATGTTCAGTGTATACTGCTCAGGTGATGGGTGCAACAAATCTCAGAAATCACCGCTAAAGAACTTACTCATGTAACCAAATACCACCTGTTCCCCAAAAACCTATAGAAATAAAAAATTTAAAAGTAATAACTTTTTTTAAGAAAAAGACTACACATTGCGTACTGCATATACTGCTCAGGTAATAGGCACACCAAAATCTCAGAAATCACCACAAAAGAACTTATTCATGTAACCAAATACCATCTGTTCTCCCAAAGCCTATGGAAATAAAAAATTAAAAAGTAATAAGAGTAGCTTTTTTTTTTTTTTTTGAGTTGGGGTCTTGCTCTCTCTCCCAGGCTGGAGTGCAATAGCATGATCTCGGCTCACTGCAACCTTCACTTCCTGGGTTCAAGTGATTCTCCTGACTCAGCCTACCGAGTAGCTGGGATTACAGCCAGGCACCACCATGCCCGGCTAACTTTTTGTATCTTTAATAGAGACAGGGTTTCACCATGTTGGCCAGACTAGTCTTGAACTCCTGACCTTGTGATCTGCCTGCCTCGGCCTTCCAAAATAATTTTTTTAAAAAGGCTACACATTGGGTACTGTGTACACTGCTCGGGTGATGAGTGCACAAAAATCTCAGAAATCACCACTAAAGAACTTATTCATGTAACAAAACACCACCTGTTTCCCCCGAAACATAGTGAAATAAAAAATAAATTTTAAAAAGGAAAGTGTGGTAAGTATACACAATGAAATACTACTTAGCCTTTAAAAAGGGGGGAAATCCTGTCCGTTGTGACAACATTGGTGTATCTGGAGGAAATTATGCCAAATGAAATAAGCCAGGTGCAGAAAAATACCACATGACCTCACTTATATGTGGAATCTAATAAGGTTGAACTCATGGAAGTAGAGAGTAGAACATACAGTCACCAGAGCCTGGAATGGGGCATGGAGACCGAGGGAACGAGCTGTCCATCAAAGGGTACAAAGTTTCACAAACATGGGAGAAAAAGGTTTTGAGATCTACCGCACAGCTTCATGACTATTATCAATAATAATGTAGTTTATATTTCAATATAACTAAGAGAGTAAGAGTAAATTTCAAATGTCTCACCATAAGAAATTATAGGGAAGCAAGGTGATGGATATGTTAATTAGCTAGATTTAATCATGTCACCTTGTATACATATATCAAAACATCGTGTTGTATGCTATACATGAATACAATTATGACTTGTCAATCAAAAATAATATTAATAATCAATTTTTGAAATTACATTTAAAAATAAATAAACTTAAAAAAAGTTTAGTTATGAATACAAAGGGTGAGGTTGCTTGGTCCTTGGCTGCAAGGGGCCCTGGTATTAAGGAAAGGGGTGTGTGTGTGTGTGTGTGTGTGTGTGTGTGTGTGCGCGCACAGATAAGTGCGTGTATGTGTGTGTGTATGTGTGCATGTGTGTATGTGTGCGTGCGTGTGTGTGTGTGTGTGGTGGGAAAGAAGGGGATCCTTCCCAGCATTCTGAAGGGAGAACAGGTATTTCTCCCAGGGTAAGTGATACAAGTAGGTTTGTGGACTTGGAAGAAGCATAATTATAATTCCATTCTCACATCTCTTTTGTTATAAGGTGGGAAGCAAAACTGTCCACTAAGAGTAAGGGATGAAGGTGGGAAGCTAGAGACTAGAAGGGACCAGGCAAGAGACCAGGAAATACTAGTTCTTCATTGCTAATTTCAGTCTCATCTACTCATTTTTGTTAAACCTTTGAAGCCTATTATTGCTTGGCCACAATAGATTCTAGCATAAGCATGTATCTAACTTGCATATAATTTTATTTATTTATTTATTCTTTCTTTTTTTTTTTGACAGGGTCTTACTCTGACAGCCAGGCTGGAGTACAGTGGTGCAACCACAGTCCGCTGCGGCCTCGACCTCCCAGGCTTCGGTAATCCTCCTGCCTCAGCCTCCTCACTAGCTGAGACTACAGGTACACATCACCATGCCCAGCTAACTTTTGTACGTTTTGTGGAGTCAGGGATTTGCCATGTTGCCCAGGCTGGTTTTGAGCTCCTGGACTCATGCTATCTACCCACTTCCCAGCACTTTGGCCTCCTGAAGTGCTGGGAATACAGACCTGAGCCACTGTGCCCAGCCTACATATAATTATATTTAGTTAGTTTATGTTTAACATATCAACTTTTGATCACTTAAAGAAATCATGAATTATAGTCTAAAATATTTTCTTTAAGTCATTCTGTATTATTGACATGACCTTGAAATTTCCACAACACAAATTTATTTGAAATGTTTAATAAAATTGGCTACTTCTAAAAGTAAAAAAAAGAAATACTAGTTCCTATGGAGAATGAGGCAGAGAAACAATTTCTGGCGGAGTTAGGAGCCCTGTTGAAATTGGTGGCCACAAATGTGTAGTGACATGAATCTGCTGCACTGTGATGTTTTCTTTAGCAGAACTCACTCAGTAGCTGAAATTATGAGCTCTGGGCTCAGCGCCGGAGTATTGCCAGAATACAGCCAAGGGAGACTGGGGCTCGGGGTACTGAGGTCCTAGAGAAAGGACAGTTGAAATAGTGAGCTCTGGCATCTCAGAGGTCCCCATAAAGAACAATATTATAATATTTTTAAAACTATTATTAACACACAACACTTCCTATGTTCTAGGCAATATTTTAAGCACTTCATATAAATAATTCTCAACACACATATGAGAACAGTACTAGTATTTTCTTCATTTTGTAGGTTATGAAACTAAAGCACAGAAAACTTAACTTGACCAAAGCCGCAGCTAAAGCCTGAAGAGTCAAGATTTGAACTCATGCAGTTGGCTCTAGAGCCCATGTTCATAACTATATGTTATCTGTCTCCATCCTTTGTCTCTTGGCATCTCTTTCTGTGACATCCAGGGACAGACATTCCTTTCTACTCAATGGGAGAAACAAATGAGCCAGACTTGCTGCATTGTGATATATACACACGCAGATGTAGCCAAGATATAGGAAGCAAAGTTGGGACATTTTCAACTCCACTTTTTTCTTCTAAAATACCTATGTGAGCTATAACACTTGATGTTCCATCCCAGAGGGAACACGAAGCATTCCTCTTTAGCATATATGACACCCTACCCCATTGTCGCCACTACCCACGTGCATGAGTGGCACTGGTTAGCACGCCATCTAACAAGCTGATGAGGCAGCAGGACAATCAGGAAGGACCACTGCCCGCATCTCCTCCCTTTACTCCGTGACACCCTAAATCTCTACTGGAGATTGTCTTCTTTGCATCCAGTGGAAGTGCACACACTCTATGAGAGCTCTTAACTACCCAGTCAGTCATGTATAGTTCAGTCTGAAAGATTTTTCCTGAACTCGACTTTTGATGGTTAGAAAGAGTTATAGGGAATGAGGCCATGAAAGGGAAAGAAAAAAGAGGTGTAGAATGGCAAAACGCTTCGTCTGCTCAAAATTTTATCTTCCAGCTGACGGAGATCATTGCATTTAGTTTTATTTACAGAACATTCAGATTGAACTGTGCAGACCCATGCTAAGACTTAATCTAGGCAGTGATTCACTCCTAAATTAGATGAATTTTCAGAATAGATATATTTCCAATGTCTTAAGATAATGAAATCTTGCTTTTTTAAAATCACAGATATTGCACATAATATGCACTTTTCATAAACTGTAGTTTCTTTGTGATCCTTTAAAAACCTGCAGCTATATAGAAATATCTTATCAATGATGAAAACAAAGGAAGTTGTTGCTGCTTTGTTTGACCTAGCAGTAGAAGGACTTATCACACTATGGTGCCTCATGCTTATAATGGACTGTGTGAGTTGGGCGTTTTCTCACCATTTTTTAAACATTTCTTTCCCCCTAGCGCTTGTCCAGGTGCTCCGATTTCTTTCCAAAGTCACAAAACACAATATGGGTTGAACATCTGGTTCGTAAAAGTCCTTTTGAAGGCGAAGCAGAGTGCCTCTCAGGTCAGAGAAAGATAATAGAAGAAAGCTATGCAGGATGATTCCTACCAGATATTGCTTGGGGCACATCTTGTTCATTGCAAACCTGGAAAGTTATTGTCCTTCCTGGATACTTAGCTGTCTGGTACTGTAATTGGAAAGTATTCACAAACCAAGCATTCACCCAGAAAAAAAAAAAAAAAGGTGGGAGAGTAAACATCCCTGTGCCCTAAACTTGCAGTCTTGAAAGGTGTAATAAGTATTTCATGCACACTGTACAGCTGGGTTTCTGTGAAGTTTTTTTTGATACAGTAGCCATTTCAAAGATTAAAGTACTTAATGGCAAAAATATAAAGCTCAGAAAGCAAGAAAAAAAAAGGTTGAGGCCACTCACATGAATGAATGACAGACAAATTCTGTATTTGATAAATCCTATAAGGCTTGCTGAACTTGAGGCTGTAATATAATAAAAGTTTCCGCTAGTCACTACAAATTTTGTGTGGGAGCAATGGATTTTGCTGAGCCATCTATGTGTCAGCCAGCGTGCAAGACCTTTGAGAGCAGGAATCTTGTCTGTCTTGATCAACACTGGGTCCCTTTTGCCTGGCCCATGGCTCTGCACCACACGGACCCCAAATAATTTGTTGAATGCTTTAAAGACCTGATTACCCAGCCTAAATCATTCTATCAATTGCCTGTGAAATGTTTGCCAAAAATACATCTATCTATGAAATAGTTATTACTAAAATTTGACACACAAATACATAGCTTATTAACTATATTTTCCCCTTGGACGTATCTGTGTTTTAATGGAAACATTCAATTTACCTCTTCTATTCAAACAAGAAAGAAACAAAACAGATCTTTTCCCTTAGCCAAGACCTTCCAGAAGGATATATTGCCTTCAGAATTATTAAGTAAATCTCTACTCATTTGAGTTCAAATCCTGAACATTCAATTGAGCCAGAAAAGAAAAAACTATTGTCCAAACAATTAAAAGGGCAAAAAACAAACCAGGGCACCTATTACCCAATAAAGCTCCAAGATGTGTTACAAACACATACTGAACCAGCACAAAGCCTGAGAAGAATCCAATAGCATCCACTACTGGAACAAGCTAGTCTCAGAGGAGGACAATTATCAAGTGTCCTACTGAAGTGTCCTATCAATGTTTACCTCTCTGTTATTTAGTCCAATCAAGTACGAAGTCACCCGTGAAATACCATGATGCTCCCTCAGTGGCTCATCCATAGCCTCTGACTCTGCCCTCAGGAATTGTCCGAC